CCGCCCCAGGAAGACCAAGGAGCAGCTGTCGGTTCTGAAGGCCTTCTCCGTGCGCTCGACTAGCCGGGTGTAGTCGGCACCGCTGGGCCAGCGCGAGTGCAGGAAGAAGGCCTTCAGAACCGACAGCTGCTCCTTGGTCTTCCTGGGGCGGCCCGGGGCCGGGCCTGCTGCCGCCGCCGCTGCCGCTTTCCTGGGGTCGGTCTCCGAATCCAGCCCCGGGAAGCCTTCGCCAGGCCCTGCTGGGCACGGCTGCGAGTCGGGGCCCCCGGGACGGGAAGGGCTGTCGCCGAGCCAGGCCGAGGCTCGCCCCGTCCGGGCCTGCAGGCTCCTCGCCGCCTCCTCCTCCTCCTCCTCGTCCCGGCAGCGGCGGCGGACGAAGCTGCCCTTCGAGGCGGCCGGCCGGGCCTTGGCCTTGCGGCAGCGCCTCTCGCCGGGGGCTGGAGGAGGCGAATCGGCCCCGTCGGGCGAGGTGCGGGCCTTCCGGGGGCTCCCGGGGCGGAGGAAGAGGAGCAGGCCCGCGGCTCCACCACAGCCGACGCCGGGCCCCCTCTGCCAGGCCGGGGCCAGAACCTGGCGACCTTCGGCGTGCGCTGGAGGGACGGGGGGTGGCGCGGTCAGCCGGAGGGCGCCAGGCTTGCTGGACAGCGTGAGGCGGGCCTCCCTCACTTCCTCGGGGGTCCAGCTGATCCCGTGGCGCAGCCGCTGCACCGCGAACCAGACCCCGACGCTCTCGGCCGGCATCCCCGCCGACAGGCCGCACCGGGCCATCTCCTCCGGGCTCGGGTACGGGAAGCGGTTGAAGGCCTCAGTCAGGCGGCCCTCGGCCCCCAGCTCCAGGCCGGGCTCTCGGGCCGGACCCCTCGGGGCCGCGTCCTGTTCTCCTGCCTCGTCCTCTCCAGTCAGGTCGATTTGTACAACGTCCGACTTCCTGCTATCCCCGTGGACTAGGCCGTGGCCGGAAATGGAGCCTCCAGGTGGGCCGTGGCTGGAAATGGAGCCTCCAGGTGGGCCGTGGCCGGGTATGGAGCCTCCAGGTGGGCCATGGCCAGAAATGGAGCCTCCAGGTGGGCCGTAGCTGGAAATGGAGCCTCCAGG